GTTTCTTCAAAGACAGGCCCATTGTGGAGGCTTATTAAACATGATGTTTAGATGTGATGGTAGTCTTGTGGAGATCCTGAAGCTGTGATTGCTGGAACATGAGGATGTGTCCATGAGAGATGATTCCCTGCACGTCCTGGTGGTTATTCTGTGTGCTAATTGCCTCGATCCCTCTTCATTGAAGGGTCAGGTAAATCTAGCTCCAGAACAGGAAACTGCAGTTAGAAAATGGGGATATTCTGTAATGGTGTCCAGGAGTGCTCCCCAGTGTAAGCAGAATTACATTGACTGCACAGGAGGTGAGACTTTTTAATTCAGAGACATTTATGAAGATACTTAATTTGCTTCAGAGATGTGTAGCTAAAGGCTTCCTTCTGCGTGGAGGTGCTGCCTTGACGTATGAGCAGAGGTTATTGGCCTTCCAACATGTGTACCCTAACCAATTTGTAAGTAAGGCCCACAACACTGAGTGAACCTGAAACTGAATTGACAGCCTGTGTAGAGTGATGATGTACTCTACAGTGAATCATCTCTTCTCTCAGTGCTTTATTCATGCCTAGAAACTTGCATAATTTCAGATTTCAGCAAAACTGGAGAAAAGGTTCAGAATTCAAGAAATGTCTATGCTGCTTTTGCAGCTATTAATTTTGTGTTGGCTAATCTGCATCTTTCACTGTCTGAACTGTTGCAGTCCTGGAAACAGTAATGGAAAACTGTTCTAGTGAGAACACTGCCTGAAAGAGGGGAGAGCATTGTTCTCTGGTGCATCCACTTGATTACTTTTTATGATGACAAGAGGGTTCTTGGATCCAATCCTATTTCCTGTTCACATATCATTGCCTTTCCGTCAGCAACAGGTTTCTTCTAGTCCCTAAACTCAGATTTATTTTTCTAATGATTAGGTACAGGAAGGTCGGTATTTAAAAAATCTAATTATTCAGCATTAAAGGAGAATATGAAAATATTTTGTGTGTCTTTTACCCCTGAGAATTGTATTTAAAAAGAATTTGGGGTGTTTAAATTCAAAACTTTATTCATGGCATGTGTTAGAGGGCTGTGACATCTTCTGTGGGAAGAGGAGTCTTTGAGTTACTTGGAGTTCAGTACACAAGCTTAACAAACATCAGTTCTGGTCAAAGTTCTTGGTACCTGCACTGTAATGTAGTTGTGTGTGCTTTTGGGTACCTACACGTTCTTTAAAACACATAAGCACTGAGAATTTCTTTCAGGCTCCATACACGTAGGTACCTTAAAGTCTGCACATTGTTTACACTTGTGTTGCTAATTTTCACATTTCTTATGCACTGAAAAAGATGCAGGTAAGAATGGAGGCGGAAAAGTTTTGCCTGCAAGCTCCAGTAATTCCAAGTGGTTACTAGGGTGGACCACTTCTTTATAAATGAGCAGGAGGGCATCTTAATCTTTATTTTACTAAAGAAACATATCACCAAAAAACCCCACCAAACCCAACAACTTCTTTTTCTCATATTGCTTTCTGGTTTTGTGGTCTTGGAACTGTACTTAGTGCTGTAAATTATTTAGGATTATGGCAAAACAAGCTGAGGCCAAGGTGAGTATTTCTGTTGGTCAGCAGAACTGAGGATAGCAGCTCCTGCAGTTTTGTCAGGTGTCGAGCCTTCTGTGTCTTTTCTGAGAAGCTGACTAGGATCCTTCCTTCCCTCTTGCCCACCGAGGTTCTTGAGACTAGTGCTTTCAACTCAGTTATTGCAGCTTTGAAGTGATCAGTTGCAGAACGTGCTCTAATTAATCTTCAGAATTTGTTCTCTTGTAAATATTATGAGTAGGAATTTAATTTCAAATTTGCTGAAGATATATATATTAAAACAATGAATTTGCAGACTAATGTGTGCCTGTGTCAGAGCTCTATGAGTTGTTGTTTTTTTTTTAAACACCAAATACTGGAATTATTTTGTACTAATATTTGTACTGGTATCTGAAAGCTTGAAAAAATGGACAGAGCAAATGGTTGTTGTGAGTGAAAGGTTGCACAGCTGCAAGGCAGACATCTTTCTAAGTCATTACGAACAGTCAAGGTTTTACAACATATGATTAAAATAAGAAAGTTTTGGGCAAAGATATAAGTTAGCCGTGAGCTTAGTTTCCATCTGAAGAAATTATTTAATGTTTGTGAGATGACTCCTTGCCTCAGCAGAAGAGTGCATATTGGCAGACATGCATGCTTATGTTGTTTGACATATTTCACCTGATGACTCTGTTTCTCACTTTAGATGTGTTAAGTGACTTCTGTTAAGAATTAGTCTTTGTAGAATTGTATCAAAAAAAGGTGTCTTTCTTTTATAATATTTTTAGGTATATTTTTACATTATTTTTTTCTTTTACTTTCATGCTTACCATGTAAAATCGTTTCAGAAAGCAACCATAAACTGTAAGTAAATTAAATGCAAATTCTTCAATTGTTTTGTTGCCCAATTGTGTGGTCCAAAATAAGTTGCAAAACCAAAGTAATGAAAGATTACAAGTATCAAGAGTAAATTCCCCATTGTAGCAGCAGGTTATCACATATATGGTGATTCAGTGATCAGAGCATGATAGTCTGTAGGATAGTATTACTAAACATTTAACTATTTAAATCAATCCCTGATACTTATTCAGTGATTAAATGGAAGCAATATTGGGGGAATGTAAATGTTTGGGAGGGAGTAGGGGTGAATACAAGAAAAGCTAATAGCAGCATTGGAATTAATGAGCTTTTTTAACACTACAGACTGCAGATCACAAGCATTATCTTGCAGGCTTGGGGAAAGGATTAGCTTAATATTTCATTGGGAAATGCATAGGGAAACATCCACTGGTACTGTATGTGACAGTGGGAAGGGGAGGTTATTTTAGAATTCATGCCTTGTAATATCTTGTTGATTTCAAAACATTAACAGTAGGAAACTCAGCAACAGATGAGTAAGGTAACACAGATGTAGCTTGCTTTATTCTACTGAAGCAGGGGTCCTCAGGCACTCGCTGGGGAATTTGAACTGCAGCTTAGTTCTCCCATGAATGTATAGCCTTGAAGTACTGAACGAAAATTAGAGTAGGAAAACAGTTTATAATGCTGTGCTTGTCTAGAATAAAAGCAGACTATATACACTGAGAAACTGTAATGGTTTGCTGCTGCTGCATGTTTACTTCCCTTGCAACTTGAAAGCATTTTTTACTTTATGTACAAAGTTGGTTCTTCCATCAGCATAGAGTCTGCTGCTGAAAATGTAATACTGAAAATACAAATCACTGTATGTATCAGACTGTGTTTAAATACAGGTTTAAATTCCAGCAGACTCAGGTTAAACATTAGGAAACTTTCTAGTAGGGAGGGTAATGAAGCACTGGACTAGATTGCCTGGGGAAGTCATCCATCCCTGGAACCTTTGGAACAAGGTCTGCAAGTACTGTCAAGGAGGGGTATAAGTACAGTTTATAACCCCACCCCACCACTTTGTGTAACACAGGATTTCTCAAAGTCAGTTCTTTGCCTATTTTTCTGTGACTTTTTGGGAAGCTCAGAGCACAAGTTGTAGAATTGGATATTTGTTCTGAGAGCTGGAAAAAAAAAATAAATATCCTGGCAATTTAAATGGTGCTTTGAAGCAGCATTTCCTTGTAGTAATAATATTATAGATTGCTTCCAGTCAGAAAACAAAATCAACCATGCTGTTGATGTTTGCTTTCAGGTTTTTTGTGCTGTGCTTTGTTGACTTTCAGACTGTTCAGTGAAATATTGTTTGTTTAAAATTCAAATTTTAACAGTTACAGCAAAAGAAAAATGTTGCTACATATTTTTTTATTACTCATAATTCATAAGAGCTGCTCTTCTAATTTTTTAAATCACAATTCTAATTAAATGGGTAATTCAATTGCAGGGTGTTTTTGGGGGGGAGGTTAGAAAGCAGAGGCCGGGGAGGGGCAAGTTTTCACTGATACTGTTTGAAGTCTGTAGCATCCAGCAGTTCACCTTCAGCATCTTAAAATGCATGCAAATGATGTGTGAACTTGTTAAACATATAGTAAAAAGGTTCCACTTGATTGCTTTAATTTTTGCCTACAGTGACTTCTCAAATACCTTATTTAAAGTAATTCCTCAATTACTCTTCTGAATAAATCATTGTAAGCCTGGTTTATTGTAACTGACAGTATATAAAAAATGGCAAACCTGTAGAAGGTTTTATTTTGGTGTTGGGAGTTGCATTTATTTTCTGGCTTCTTTATGCTATTTAAAGAAGGTGTTTTTCATCTGTTTCATCAGAAATTCATAGTCCATCCTCAGCCTCTCTGGGTGACTGCGGAAGACATAGAATTGTGGCATCACAACAGATTGGAAGTTGAGCGAGTTGAGGGTAAAAACTTTTAATATGATTATTAACAGCTGTAAGAGCAGATTAAATAAAATATTCAAGACAATAGAGAGTTCTCTTTTGAACATGAAAACTAAAGGAGTATGACTTCAGAAATGTATGGACATTAAATTACATGCATTATTTTGGTATATAGAGGAAGAGAATTTGAATGATGATACAGGGAGAGAAGAACTACAGTATTTAAACATGGAAGCTCTTTACAGTCCACTAAGAAGACAAAAAGCGCATTACTCTATTAAAATGTGTCTTGCAGGTTGTTTTTAAACCAAAGTAAATAAAAAATAAATGGGACTGAAAGCTTGCATGCAAAATGTTAATGTTGTGTACAGGCATTTTGGGGAGCATTAGGCAATTTGAGGCCTATAATGAAATACTGAATTAGTAAGTAAGTAATGGTGTTGGCAGCTGCTTCTGTATGAAAGGTACTAAGTATGTACTTAATCTGAATTTATTTGGCATTTTCCTCAGCTTGTTTAATACAGCCTTACAGAAGAAAGATAAAGTAGTGTACCATCAGGGGTTTCTTTCAGGGGAGAGGGGTGAGATGGGAAGAAAACTAATTCTTAATAAATAGCATTCTTGGTAATGTCTTTATTTTAATTTCTTTAGACTATGTCTGAATGTATCCAGCTCTCATTTGCTGTTTGTAGAATTGGCATTTACACGGTAAGGCAATGTTCTAACTAACTAAATAATTTTTGTTAGTGTTAATGCCATTTGAGTGAAAGGAAGTTACTTAGTTTTTTGGGATCAGGCTTAAATAATGCAGTTAGCAAAAGGGATTTGTCATATTAGTTTACATAAACAGACTACAGCATGGGTTTGTTCTGTCAAAGATTTACTAATACCAGGACAGAAAAAGTATTCTCCACTTTAATTAAAAAGGGTATAGAAAAATTCAGCCAACCTGTTAAGGTGTAAGAAGATTTAGAATTCATGTGTAGCAGTTGCTGAGAATTCTGGTCTAATATCATTGCTGAAGGCTTTGTGTACATTTGCTTTTAACTATCCATGGTGTTTGAGTAATGTTGTACATTAAAACATGTTAGCTAAATGCACATATTGTTGTAAGCTTTGTCTGGAGTGCCTTAATATTTTGCAAATCCCGTTAAGTTAAACTTCCCAAACCTTAATTAAATTATATAAAAGAAATGTGAACTTTACTTCAAACAAATGTCCCAAATATGCCAAGTTATTTTTTTTTGCTGCTCCCATTTGTTCTGATTAATGATGAGAACAGTTAGATGAGGGGGATATTCCATAGAAATTCAGAGTTTACACAATATATAAGACACTTGCTCAAATCATGCTTCAAATCCTGGAGGTTTTGGAGTGAGGGTGCTGCTGCTACTGTTAATACTTTGCGGGAGGAAGCTTGGCACTTACAGCTTCCTCTTTTATTAGGCTGTGCAGTCAGTGTAGGTGACTTTTGAACAACTGTGATGAGGGCTATATACCACCAGTAAGTCTTACTTGAGGACAGAATCACAAAGTTTAACATTTGCTTTTATTCTTAGAATTTGGATCCAGGTAGGGTTTAATATCTGCTTGAGTTTTTTTCCTGTGACATTTGTCTGCATTCTCTTTTCAGCATGTAAAAGACTATTTTCTAAATGGTAGAAAATAACAGATTTGGGCAATATGGACAAAATCTTCATGGAGGAAACTGCTACTTGCCAAGGCATATTTTCTTGTGGTATTTACGTTCCCTAGGAAGTCTTTTTCTCTCCAAATTCCTATGTGATAAGAGTATGCTTATCTTGAAGGATCGGAGAGGGTTATGGTATGAGGTTTTAATGGCTGGAAGGTATGCAAACCATCTGCCAGCTCTTTAGAAGGCTAGAGTAAGCTGTACAAATTAATTTGAGAGGGTGTCCAAGTATAAATGTATGAGTATTGTAGAATCAGGTATGAGTGGGATACATGTAGCAAAGTACACCCTCTGACAATAATTGGTTCTGTTTTAGTTTAAAAAAAAACCAACAGTGGTGTGTATACCGCAGTGCACTGCTAAGTTGTGGTAGCTGCAGTTATGGTGATAGTTGGATAATTGGTATCTCATTGTGACCTTTTGGGCAACATAATATTTAATTTCATCAAACTTTATAAATTGCAAAATATAAAGAGCTAGCTTCATTTATGGAAGAGCTGAGAGGAATTGATTTCATCGACTGCTGGTACTTAAGGGAGGAAAGTGAGGAGGAGGATGAGTAGGCTTCAGAGCACCTAGATGCACTGTTGTGGCCACAGTGTAGAGGGAGGACATGGGTCCCATGTAAAGTGCATTTGAAGGCTAAAGTAGTTACTTTAGGAAAATGCTAGGTGCCGAGAGTACTTGCTCATGTAGAAATGCCTGTCATTGGAAAGGTGAGTTTCGGGTGATCTGACTGGAGAGTGGGTTTGGACAGCTTTGGTGTCAGCAAAGGAAGAAGCCTGCTGAAGTGGGAGCTGTGCAGAAACGTGGTGTGATAGTTCCTCCCTCTGCGCTGTGCGCTGCTGGTGCTCAGTTGTGTAATGCAGTCACTGGATTTGCCGCTCAGGTGCGCGGCCAGGCTGGCAGCTAGCAAGCGCGGTGCTCCCCACTGATGTCAAGGAGCAAACAACAAAATTCCAGTTCGTATTGCCCATTTAATTAGTTCCTTATGTCTTGTATTGTGTACTTTCTACTGCATGCTGTTTTGCAGATTTACTAGATTTTTTTTTTTGTTATTTGATTTTTATCCAAAAGCTAAGCAGTCTCTCAAATGCCAGTGCTTACCAGCACCATGTGTTCAGTTTGTACTGTATTACTGGGACACTTCCTGTTCTGCAGGTCCTCGTGGTACAGTGCTGCAAGTATCTTGCAAAGGCTTAGTCCTTTGGACTACAGACATGTCAACTGTTAGTCTGTTATCAAGCTGCTTATCAGTAACACTCTTGAGCACCCATTACTTCAGCTGTACTACTCCATTAAATAGGCTTCCTGTTTTTCAGGCCTGTACAGATTATGAGGTGGAGGAAGGGTTTATATAGTTATCCATGGCAAAAGAGCCTGTGCTGCCTTCAGCTACCATGTCTAAGAGGATAAAGCTTCATTGTCTTGAGCTAGGAAAAACATAGACCTTTGCAAGAGTGCAGAAAGATATGTGATGCCCATTTTGCGGGATTAAACCAGATGAGATTACTTAGAAGTGTATACCCTCAAAGGGGAGAGTAGAAAAGCAGAGGTGGCTAATAAATAAACTATATAGATATTTGTAAGTATCTGAAGCTGAAAGATGTATATCCTAAAATGAAAACATGAACTTAAATGAAAACTTTTGGGATGAAAAAAGCAATCAACCAACCACCCAACCAAAATAAAACTCCATTTCCTCTGTGTGTTTTACACAGCTAGTACCTTCTGGCAGAAGTACCAGTCTTTTTAGACACGTCTCTGCTTCTTCCACCATACTAGTGTCTGAATCAGAAGCGTCAGTTCGAAGTGTAGGAACAAGCAGATAAATCAATTGTTGAATCTGCATGACTGTGGAGATCGTAAGCATACGACAGCTTGTAGCAAGGCTTATCATTATTATCATTAACTTCCTTTCTGTTTCTGGCTTAATTTTCTTAACCAGGTAAAAATCCTAATAAAATAATGATTGAGAGTTCAAACTACATGAACTTCAGAGGAAGAATAATCCAAAATTTGTTGTCTTGTGAAACAGTTTTTATGATGGGACGTTTGCCATCTTTATAGATGTTTAGGACTCCACCTCAGAAACAGTGTGCATGATTATATGCCTACACACCTTCTCTGGAAGGTTCTCTGATACTCTGCACTGGGCTTTGAGACTTTTTTTCTTCTCAAAAAGAGAGGTAAGCTTTTTTGAACAGGAGTAGTAAGATATTCTTTCCTGACCCTACCCCCTAAATGTGACTCCAGGAATAAGCAAAAAGGTAATTTTCCTATTGCTTGTTTTGGATAACAAAACAAGGACAAAAGCCTCTGCAGTGGTGAGAACCATGCAGAAAGACTAAGAAGACTTAGTGGAAATGTGGGCCTTTGCTGGTATGCATTCAAAAGAAAAATACTGGAAAATAACATTTTCTCTTCTTAGGAAATTAGAATGTAACAGTTTTCCTTGATTGTGGAATATGGCACCAATAGATAAACAATTAGAAAACACTCATTTTAAAAAAATAAGCCCTTTTTGGAGCTTTCTGCTTCTCAGATGCTGCATATGGCAAAAGTGATGCACTGTGGCAGCATTGCATCAATGTTGGCATCTACTTCCTGCAAGTGATGAGTAATGGGTATTTTGGTATTAGTAGCCTCTTGGCTAGAAATTGTGCCGTGAGATGTGGAAATAAATGATGCATTTATACAGCTGTGCTTACTATAGTTTATATATGGTAAATATAGGAAATGATGCAAATGTACTTCTAGTTCTCTGGTTTACTTTGGATTAACTTACATTTGTCTTTGTTTATAATGATAAATTCATGTCCTGAAATGGTTTGACTGGAAACAGCTGGTGTGCTAAGGAATTTGTCTGATGTTTGAACAAAGCAGAAATAACATTTATTCATGAAGTGGTGGAGAGGAAGCTCTTAAGAGAAGAGAAACCAACTGAGGCGGTAACTAAAGGCAGTCATGGAATAGGAGGTGATCATGGGAGCATGTTGGGAACAGTTCAGGAGCCAGCCTGTGACTTACAGTATGGAAAGCTTCCTGTGAGACTCTTCCCCTCCCTGACGTGGTTTCCCATTGGAAAATGCAAAGTTAAAGTAATAATAGAGCTCATATAGCATATCCTGTCTACTCCTCCCTTTCCCTGTTGTGTCCTTGACATGAGCAGCAAAACAAAGGCACAAAAGGGCAGCAGGAAAAAATCCTTTTATGTGCTACCCTTTGGGAAATGTAGACAATTCCATTCACAGTCACTGTTGATAATCTGTGGGCAGACTGCTGGAAAGGAAAGGTATAACTGTTTTCAACTTCCAGCCTTAAATAAAAGGTGCTTGCTATCACCAGCGTGTCAGTGACTTGCGTTTGATGGGAGTATGTCCACTTGGTCGTTGAAAATCTGTAGTTAAGCCGCTTGAGCCATGCTGGTTGTAGCGCATGTTGCTACCAACCTAAACAGGAGAAAGAGAGGCAGAATGTCATGATGCATGTGTTGTTCAGTGTATATGAATGTTAGATATACTGTGGATTTTTTTTGCTATGAGCTATGAGACTTTCCCTTCTACTTTTCTGAAATAAAGAAAGCATTGTTTATGTATTTATTTTTTTAAATGGGGAAAGTAAAGACAGGTGAAATGGGAAGTCATCAAGGCTGGGCCAGGAGTGAGCATCAGGATACAATTCTCTGCCCTTTCCCTCCACAGAGTTCATTGGTTAAAGTAAACTGTACTCGAATTGCTGAGCAGCTTCTCCTTGTGGCTGGAGCTCCCCGTTAACCAGCCCAAAGAGCTCAGCAGTGTGGTTCAACCAGTGCTGCTGCAACAGCATTACTTCCCTGAGCTGTTAACTGATTTACACTGTACTTACAGCCCTTTGACAACCTCTGACAACTAGGTATTGATTTCACTGGGAAAGGTATGGTTTGCCAAAGTAGACTGTTAATTTTTGTCAGAATGAAATGTCTGTCTGACAAACTTGCAGGCTGCAATAGAGCTTTGTCCTGAACTAGGGACAT